GACTATTTTAATGATTGAGCTTCATGCCTAACTTTGGGACGCACGAGGTGCATCGTGCGCTCATGCAGTGAGCATCGTGCGCTCATGCAGTGAGCATCGTGCGCTCATGCAGTGAGCATCGTGCGCTCATGCAGTGAGCATCATGCGCTCATGCAGTGAGCATCGTGCACTCATGCAGTGAGCGCATGACGAGCCGGTAACCGCCAAGCTCATGCAGTTATGGCCGCGATATTGGAGCGCAGTTTGGTTTCTGTTGAAATAGAGCACGAATGAAATAGCTGTTTATAATAATAATAATGGTGTTGTTTACGTTATTTATATTATTTCGATATTGAAAGGGAGAGATATTTTTGCAATCTGAATGAAACATTTACTATGCAAATAGTGAACCTGCTTGAATGGTTAATTGGATATCACCTGAATTATTCTCTCAGCAAATGATTCAAAATGAGTTGCATGGAGCTAACAGTTATTGCTGAGGCAGGTAGGCTTATCTCGCGACATTTTATCGGCCTACAAAGTGGCCTGAACAAACGGCCATATTGCTGACACCAGCGCCCTGCACTCGACCAAATATATAGACGGATCAAGCGATATATAGACGGATCAAGCGATAAAATCCATCAACGATATCTGACCCATGCTCGGCCTGCCAGACCTAATGTATATGGGGCTCGATAGGCTGTCGCATGGATATTTTGTGGAGTCCAGCACCGGTGCAAGCAGGTTCGATAGTGTCTTAATATTAACATAATTTCTGCAAGAAAAAAAAAATTCTTACCTACAGCATGAGCAGAGAACGGACATACCACTGATAAGCTCTTTTGCTGAGCCAAAATGAGTCAGGATGACCCAGACGTGAGATAAACGTGCACCGTTATTTGTACAAAATCTCACTCATCTCACTGCATGAGTGCCCTTAATTACATGAAGGTAAATTGCCTTGTCCAGAGAATGGATTGAAGATTGTACTGCAGTCTTGGGATATTATGTTTAGTTTGTATGAGTTATAAGCCTATATCAGGTGACCAGCCGCTGCAGTATCTGTAATACAATACTTTGCGACAGCGTATCAAGTCTTTTTTCAGGTAGCGATATCATTGTTGTTAATGAGCTCATTACGTTTAATGGTTGAGAAGAACATCATTGTTGTTAATGAGCTTCATTGCATTTAATGGTCGTGGAGAATTGATTCACTCGATCATGAGGATCTCCGTTCGGGTATAGGATTACATAAAATAAACAGACTTCCAGAACCATTGCGAATGGATTGCACTAAATTCTTCTAGAAAATTCAATGTCTTTTTTCAAAGTTGAGGAAATTTTACGTCTCCTGAAACCTGAAACCGAACATAAAACAAGAGATTGGAGCGCAATCGACATGCGTGGACTTCAGCGTGCATCGAAGAGTTATTGTCATTTATAATATTTTCGATTTATCTTCTTTTCGATTTGAATTGTATTTTGTAGACAATTTGACTATGCATAAAATATCTGAGACTTTTGACAGCTATAAAGTGTCAAAATCGTGAAATACTTTCGACACTAGCTCACATAAGTATATATGTACGTATGTATTATATACTAGTACAGCATAGTTTCTCAGTGGCATTTGTACGAACTTTGCCTTAAAAATTTGTTATCGCCCCTACGGCGAATAATGCTATAGAGTCTACGTGAGCAGTCAAAGTTCTCTATCGGCAAAACGATAAAAAACAATGCAGAGTCAGCGTGAGCAGGAAAAATTCGCTATTGCCACGATGATGAAAAACACTGCACAGTCTACGTGAGCATGAAAAATTCGCTATCGCCACAGCGATAAAAAACAAAAATGAGCATGAAAAATTCGCTATCGCCACAGCGATAAAAAACAAAAATGAGCAGGAAAAATTCGCTATCGCCACAACGATGATAAACAGTGCAGAGTCTGTATGAGCGGGAAAAATTCGCTATCGCCACAACGATAAAAAACACTGCTGAGTCTGAATGAGCTGAAAAAAAAAATCGTTATCGGCAAAACGATGAAGAGCCCTGTAAAGTCTGCGTATCTGCAGGTGCATCCCCGCGTTCGTCACCTCAACAACCAAGGATTATTCGAGTCTGCCGGCAGAGAAAAGTTGTTATTGGCACAACAATCAAGATCGCGGCAGAGCAGCTGGCAGAGTAACGATGTTTTGACCGCCGTAGTCATGTTTTTTTTTTGTCATGTAGTCATGTTTTTTGACCGCCGTAGTCATGTTTTTGTCTCTCTAAGAGCTGAAGCTTTGACCAGTGATCTTCGCGGTCATGTTCACGTCTGTTTCGCGGCCGAAATAATTCCTTAAGTTAAATTCATGGTCAGATGGGGACGGAGATTTCCTTACACGATTAAATGAAAGTTGAATCACTATTAATGTGAAGAGTACATTACAATAGAACAGATCCCACATTACATTAGAACAGATCCCATGATCGAAGCTTGACTACCGCATATGCAACGGAAAATATGAATATATTTTACAGTCTTCGTGGATAACGCTGAAACTTTTTCTCAAGTTGTTGTATTAACGAGTGCAATTGTAACCCAAAAATCTTGATAAAAGTGCAAATAAGTACATATTTTTTCATGCACATATGATTCAAAGTAAAAATCCAATGACAAATTTCACTTACAATTTCCAAATACACCCGGGTGACTATATAAATTTCAATAAGTAATAATATAGTAATTAAAATATTAATGTGTATCTAATCATAACGGGAGTCAAGTTTGCTTATAGAAATCTCGGAGCTGTGCACTAAAAAAATAAATGACTCATATTGTCCAAGTTGTGACACACTTCCTCTTCCATGACCCATCAGAGAGCAGACGGAGCACTGATACACTCTTTAGCCGGCTGATCTGGGTCAGGAAAAAAATTGTATAGCTATTTGGACAAAATATCACTCATTTCTCATAGTGTAGGACACCTGGCCCAGGTGGTGCGAGGCACCAGTTGTCCTCAGGCCTTCTTGGTCGCACAGTAGGCCTTCTGAAGGCATCCTAGGCCTTCTTGGTCGTATACTAGACCTTCTGAAGGCATACTAGGCCTTCTTGTTCGCATACTATAGGCCTTCTGAAGGCATCCTGGGCGAGGAAGAAATAGAAGGCAGGATATGTTGTCAGGAGAGGGGGCTACGGAGTAGTCGGTACAGGAGAAAAGTATATAGGTTCTAGCGTAAAGAAGTATTAGAATCAGTTATTCCTATCTTAAACGTTTTCGTCGCAGTGAAAGTCTGAAGGAACAACAGTAGTGGATCTATCATATTTAGTTGTAGCAGCAACAGAATTGACTTCTGAAAGACAAGACTTGGATCACCTTAACTCTCCAAGATCTGATCCTCTCCCTCTCTCCAACTCTCCAAGATCTGACCCTCTCTCTCGCTCCAACTCTCCAAGATGTGATCCTCTCCCTCGCTCCAACTCTCCAAGATGTGATCCTCTCCTTCGCTCCAACTCTCCAAGATGTGATCCTCTCTCTCGCTCCAACTCTCCAAGATGTGATCCTCTGTCTCGCTCCAACTCTCCAAGATCTGACCCTCTCTCTCGCTCCAACTCTCCAAGATGTGATCCACTCCCTCGCTCCAACTCTCCAAGATCTGACGCTCTCTCTCGCTCCAACTCTCCAAGATGTGATCCTCTCCCTCGCTCCAACTCTCCAAGATCTGACCCTCTCTCTCGCTCCAACTCTCCAAGATGTTCTGATCCTCTCCCTCGCTCCAACTCTCCAAGATCTGATCCTCTCCCTCGCTCCAACTCTCCAAGATCTGATCCTCTCCCTCGCTCCTACTCTCCAAGATGTGATCCTCTCCCTCGCTCCAACTCTCCAAGAACTGATCCTCTCCCTCGCTCCAACTCTCCAAGATCTGATCCTCTTCCTCGCTCCAACTCTCCAAGATCTGATCCTCTTCCTCGCTCCAACTCTCCAAGATCTGATCCTCTCCCTCGCTCCAACTCTCCAAGATGTGATCCTCTCCCTCGCTCCAACTCTCCAAGATCTGGTCCTGTCATTTTCGTAAACTCTATAAAGGAGATATAGAAATATTTAAGCGAAAATAAAAACTTCAATATTCCCCTGGGCTATCCAAGAACATAATGCGGAAAGAGAAAAAAATTCCTCCATGAACTCGTGAACGTCTATGCATGTAAACAAGCACAGGCTACTGACTGCAGCATACAATTTTCTACATCATATATATTAATATTCAAACAGTGCCATGTTATAAGCTCTATGTATGTGTATTAGAATTTAATACACGTGCCTTGATCACAATATACTGTAGTTATGCATTTTTAATTAGTTAGAAACAGACGTTTGAGTCCGTCATTTTAAACGTTTTCGTCGCAGTGAAAGTCTGAAGGAACAACAGTAGTTGGTCTATCATATTTAGTAGTCCAAGCAACAGAATTGACTTCAGAAAGTCAAGACTTGGATCACTTCAACTCTCCAAGATCTGATCCTCTCCCTCGCTCCAACTCTCCAAGATCTGACCCTCGCTTATTCGTAAACTCTATAAAGGAGATATTGAAATATTGAAGCGAAAGCGAAAACTTCAATATTAGTTAATATTTATGCGTTCGAACGGAAGTGTCCAACACAAATAGCGATCGATGTTTAGCGTACATTAATATCAGTCATTTGCTGGAATCAATCCCCCCTGAGCCATCCTTGAACATACTGCGGAAACAGAAAAAAAATACCTCTATGAACTCGTGAACGTCTGTGCATGTAAATAAGCACAGGCTACTGACCACAGCACCCAGTTTTCTGCACCATGTATATTTAAAAAATTCAAACAGTGCTATGTAATAAGCTCTATTTATGTGTATTAGAATTTAATACACGTGCCTCGATCACAGTATAGTTATGCATTTTTAATTAGTTAGAAACAGACGTTTGAGTCCGTCATTGCTATGACCACCAATAGATATTTTCCGCAGTCTAATATAACTCATGATGCAACACTTGAGCTAAAAAGCCTGTCAGATGTGGGGTTCGAACCCACGCACTCTTACGAGTATCAGAGCTTAAATCTGACGCCTTAGACCACTCGGCCAACCTGACTCCTCGGTATGTATGTATATTTGTACATTCTTGCGCAATGAAATGGAGTTAGTAGTAATTTGTGAGCAGATGTACGATAATTCGGCTGTATTTTCTATCTCTGATCAATTGTTCTTGGTGGTCACGCCCAAGGAGAAGGTGCCTTGAGCTGCAATCTAATGTAAGAATAATCGAAATTCTCTCCCCTCGCACAAATGAAAGAAAAAAATATTCGGGTGAAATTAACTGGTAATTCACATTTGATTGAAAAAAACGGTATGTTGGTAAAATGAATCGAGCAAACATTCTGAGAACTTAGATGGCAATGCATTCCATATTCTATGCACTATACGTGGCATCTCACCTCGCACATCCCGTTTACATTTCTGAACCTCTATGCACGTGTGTATTAATGTGTGTACATGCGCAAAATGTGCATGTACAGTCGATGCCAACTTCGTAAGTACGTTTGCTCATTCTTTGTGCGTGTCGATCCACTTATCTCACACACCCCGTATGCGTGTTCACACACCTCACACACCCCGTATGCGTGTTCACACACCCCGTCTGTGTGTTCACACACCTCACACACCCCGTATGCGTGTTCACACACCCCGTCTGTGTGTTCACACATCTCACACACCCCGTATGCGTGTTCACACACCCCGTCTGTGTGTTCACACACCTCACACACCCAGCGCCCTCCAGCAGACGGGCAGTGGGCACCACACCTGTCGCCCTCGGGCTACGGGCATGAGGCTGACGTCGTGATGTTGGTAACGCTGACGACGATGGTGAATGCTTCTTGTTTGTAAGGAAAATAAGTATTAGTTTAAAACCGGCTTCAATTTATTCTTAGTTTATCCATGTTATTTTTTGTTATCCATGTTAAATTGTTATCCTTGTTATTTTTTATTATTTGGTTGTAATTACTTAATTTACTGTCGTTAAGTTGAAATGGATAAAGGACGAATTCTCTCCGTGGATAGCATGCACATTACAGTCGTTCACCTTACTTCTTTCTTGCCCATAATACTTCATTTATTAATATAACTTTCTTTATCCTCATTATTTTCAATATCCACGGTAATTTCCGTATTTTCCAAACTCATTAGCGTTTTTACAAGACGCTAATGAAATCGATTGGCTCAACTGTCTAACACGGAGTCGTTAATTCAACAGTACCTAGTAAATGTTTGGTCTTTGCATTGACTAACACAACATGAAGTTCTTAACGTGGGAACATGATGAAATGTTCGTCCTGTTATTTTGTAGCATCTTTAGGCTATGTTTTGATCGCTGGAGGCGCATTGCATTGTTTACACGTAACATTGGTGTGGTGTAAATAAATGGTTGCTTGCTTGCAACATTGTAAATAACTGCACTGTTTACACGCAACAATGGTGTAGTGTAAATAACTCCTTTTTTACACCGAAGATAAGAATAATGTAAACATTTGCGTTGTTTGCACCGAACACGGAATACAGATTACAAAAATTGATTATTGCATGCCACGAAGAGGAAGCAGAGCATCAACGATCTCTGCATGCCACGAAGAGGAAGCAGAGCATCAACGATCTCTGCATGCCACGAAGAGGAAGCAGAGCATCAACGATCCCTGCATGCCACGAAGAGGAATGCTTGCGCTGAGATTCTCATCGTCGCTCGACCGTCCAATCCTGACGCGAGGGCGCGGGACCGGTTTATCGAATCCTATAACAAGAAGCTGCTTCGTGTAAGCCGGACGCGTCAATTCTTAACGTCCCGAAAATCGGGCTGGTTTTGTATAGGATTATAATTGTAGCAGGAGTGGTTGTTAGCATTAACCTCAGCGGTTAATGGATTGCCCAGAGTGAAGTAATTATTGAAGTGATATCGCTGGAAAATTCAGTTCAATTTTAGCAGCTGCAATTTCGATTTTGTATAATTAGTTAAGTATTTGAAGCGTGTAAGACAAGTATACGTATACTTTGGGTGAGTCCGCGCATATGTAATTACCACTGTGTCCAACTAATGTGTCATTTAAAATAATAGAGGTTTTTGAATGTTCCTGTGCATATAACATATCGATTTGCCATAAATAGAGTAATATAGAGGCAATGAGTTGTGGTGCATTTTTTAAGTAGATTCGCTTCAGGCAAGATGCAATGTAATCTAAAGCATAACGGTCACTGCAATTGAAATTAATTTTTTTATTTTTCAATTGAAATTTGACAATTAACATAAACAAAAACATTTACACTTACTTTGCGATTCCTGTGATTTGATATGTATCATAGTTTCAGATGCGTTTTTGAATGAAGAATTATTATTATTATTATTATTCCGCGATATCAATGCAAAACTGCTTTTCTATGCTAGTTACGTATAGAGTTTGTGTTTGAAAATAACTGTGAATAAGTGGTCTGACTGGTGTTCTATAATGACCGGCCGTACCGTAAAATTATACCGTTTGTAGTTTTTTTTCGAATTTTGCACGGTTTTCTTGTGTTAAATTGAAAAAGAACGGCGGCGATACAATGTTTCTTTCACGTGCCGAAGGCCATTGAAATGCCAGTACGACCGTTTTACGGCGATTTATCGAACAGAGTATACGATCTTACGAGAAACTGAATGCTTGAATAGGTCATCTCCCACAATTTCTAGTCCTATATCCAGCTGGCGTGTCGGTCAAATTCCTTCAGTCTTCTAAGCCATAGCCTTCGGTCCTCTAAGGACTGGAGAAGGAAGGATGCATCAAAGCTTAATCTTCTTCGGAATCTATGCCAAGACACTGCTGATAAGATCGCAGAACGATTGCCGCTGTGTAGGATCTATATAGAGTCATCATCGTTTGATTTATGGCCGATCCTGTATAACTATGCCGACCAGAGCGTCCTTCGTTGCCGCAGCAGCTGCCTCGTCTGTTCCCGATGCTTAAATTCTAATGTAAAAAATTTGAAAATCTGTATGGTAAACACACACGCGTCCACATATTTTAAAAAACAGCGATACAGGGACAAATTTTTAAATAAAGTTTCTTCAAGTCGTGATATTCTGTCCCGATGCTTAAATTCTAATGTAAAAAAAAATCTGAAACTCCGTATAGTCAACACACACTCGTAAAAATATTAAAAAAAGCAGAAAAGCTGGTAAAATTTTTAAAATAAATTTTTAAAGTTTATTCAAGTCGTGACATTCTGTAGACATCGTTGATGGATTTATCTAATTCTTACTACCAGAATGATATGAATGAGAAAAAAGTGCGTGGACATGGCGGTAGAATTAAAAGAGTTCGTGGACATGGCGGTAGAATTAAAAAAGTGCGTAGTTCGTGGACATGGCGGTAGAATTAAAAGAGTTCGTGGACATGGCGGTAGAATTAAAAGAGTTCGTGGACATGGCGGTAGAATTAAGATCGCACACCTGCCACCATGCAGGAGCAGGTGTCCACGAAACGCTCGATGACAGGAAGGGAAAAAAACGAAGTCTGGGCTATACTTTCAAAAAAAGTTAAGAGATCGTAAGTTCATCAGCCAATCATTGACGGCCTTTCAAGCAAAATCCACCAATCATAGACAAGAAAATAGAGCGTAAGTACTTCCGTTCACTTAACGAGTTTTGAAAGTATGGCCCTGCTGCATGGTATGTAAGATTTGATTGCGTCACTCTATAAATCATGTGAATATTTCGCTAGTATGTTGAGACTCGTTATACTGCATATTCAATAGTTCGCTAGGCATTAGCGGTAACCTTGAATCTTGCAAACAATTTATTTATTTTCAAATTTTTGATTATTTGACATTGCTTGTATCTAGTAGAGCCTCCATACAATTTTTCTATAATAATAGTCCGGAATAAAGTCAGGTCACAATTGATACAACGCTAGCTTAATATTAGAAATCCGATGTACAATATAAATATTTTGGCATTTTTTATTGTGTTGCTTCCTCTAATCACCGAGCAATTGTTACTCCTGACAATTGGCATCACAATACCATTAGAAAAAAATAACGATCATGCATTAGAAACCAAGAGCGCTGTTCAGCACTTATATGCAATGCAAATTTTGTATCGATATCCCATATATTTACAAATAAAAACCACAACGTTAATCACGGCAAACGAGGTATAACGAACGCCCAAAATTCACCCACTCAAAACAGGAATTGAAGGCAATATGGCGGAAAATAAGCTTAAAAATTCACAGATTTCTATGTTCATGCGGCACAAATGCTGATGTTGGTGAAATAATTGATATGCAGAAGATGTTTTCGTGGCTGACGAGCTATCATTACGTCGGGCTGGCAGCTAAAATAGGCAAGGAGATGAACCAAATGCTACATGATTTCCAGATAGATCCAATCTCAAAATTGCGAAAAAGCTAACATTAAAGGCAATCATATATTTATTGGCGCTAAACTTTTTTGAAAATATGCAATTCACACTGAAGACGATCTTGCTGCAAATGAAGAAGTATTCTACCCTCAAATTTATTATTTTACAGGTGTTTTCAAGCGGCTAGCCATCTAATATTTACTAATTAAGCGGTTGATAAAAAAATTCGTAAGTGATCTAATTGAGATATTTCAAAAAGTCTTACATGTGTGTTCCAATAATTTATGTCTTATTTATGGCAAGAGCATGTAAAAGTTTTTTGGGAATATTCTATAGCATTTACTAGAGAAGTAGATTGAATAGTTATGATCAGTAGAAATTATGAATTAAAGACAAGCCTGAATTTTATTATGAACAATTTTGACAATAAAGTCGAAACTAACTTGAGCGCAATTTGATTTAAGCAAATGTAAATCTCGAAGTGCACACTTAATGTAACAATACATTAATTTAAAACGTAAATAGAACCCACCAGTGCGCTTCCCGACTCAAAGCGAATAATATAGTTTTATACGTTGGTAAAAAACCAGCAATTTGACAATAAAGTCGGAACTAACTTCAGCGCAATTTCATTTAAGTAAATGTCAATCTCCACGAGCACATTTAATGTAACAATACATTAATTAAAAACGTATATACAAGCC